CTCCCTCCCTCCCTCCCTCTTCTCTCTCCCTCTCTGTCTCCCTCCCTCCCTCCCTCCCTCTCCCTCTTCTTCTCACTCTTCTCTTAGGCGGTTGTCAGTCTCTTCGAGTCCCTTGAGGACCCGACGTTCCGCACGGGAGCGATCGAGCTGGAGGAGCTGCTGGGCAGATACCGGGCTGCTCGACACCCTAAGGTGGTGAGCGGAGAAATGGAGGAGGAGGAGGAGCAGGAGCAGGAGCAGCAGCAAGAGCAGGAGCAGGAGCAGGAGAAGCAGGAGGAGCAGGAGGATGTGGAGGAGCAGGAGGAGGTCCATGACAGTATCCCAGGGATCTTGAAGATGCGATGGAGGAGGTTAGAGGAGCTGTCATGGTCAAGGACCTTCTCCTCTATTACGCTGATGTGGTGGCTGGATACCAACTTAACGACGAGGTTCCCTCTCCCTCCTCCCTGCTGCTGCTGCTGGTGGTGGTGGTGGTGGTGGTGGTGGTGCTGTCCTCACTGACTTACCTTGCAGGAGCTCGTGGAACTTCTTCGAGCCACGTGGGGATTCAACGTTTAACGATAGAAACTAATAAAGTGAAGATGAAGAAGAGGAGGGAGGAGGGGTGGTCTGGGTGGAGGGTCAAGAGGGTCGGGGGGTGAGGGGGTCGAAGAGGAGGAGGGAGCGGAGGAGGGCGAGGCGAGTGGACTCGTGGAGGAGGAGGGCGTGAGAGTCGACGAGGATCACCCCCTCCTCCATCACCGCTGACCTCGCGCGCGATGCCAACCGTGAGTCCGCGGGCCTGAGAAGCTCTCAGAGGGGAAGGAAGGAGAGGAGGAGAAGGGGGCAGGGGAAAGAGGTCAGGGTTGATCCTCACATGCCGATATAGAAGCGACGATGGACGAGGAGATCGGAGGAGGAGAGGTCAACGAAGATGTTCTGCTGCAGGTCAACCTCCTCCTCCCTCATCAGCCTCCACTCCATCTCCTCCATCGCAGCTGCACAGCTCTCCTCCCAGCTTGCCCCCAGCTGGACTCTCGTCTCCTGAACAGCCGAGGCGACGCCCTGGAAGGCCTCGAGGAAGACGAACTTGCTGTCGAGGAGGAGGAGCGACACCGACGAGTCCCTGCAGTCGCTGGGGAGGAGCTGGGGTTGACTACGAGCATGTTCCTTGCTCACGGCCTGCTGGGTGAGGCTCGTCCAGGGGATCTTGATGAGGACGCGCCCACAACCGTCGCGAGGCGTCGAGAGTTGAGAGCCGCTGTCCTTCCTCCTCCTCCTCTCTCCCGCCTCCTCCTCCGGCAGCGGGACGTTCCTTCTCCCCGAGAAATAGCAGTGTCCGTTCTCCATGATGATCTGCGTCTGATGATCCCCCAGGTCCGTCCTGCTCCTCCCGTTCCTTCGAGCTCCCTTTCTCACCTCCACATCCTTGGAGCCCCTCCTGCCCCCGCTCCCTCCCTCCCTTCTCCCTCCCTCCCCTCCCTGTCCTCGATTGATCACCGGGAGGCTGCGGGGCTCGGGAGGGAGGACGAAGACGGAGTGAGGAGCAGGTTTGTGCTCGCCCTTCTCGAGGATCGACAGAATCTTTCCCAGCTGCGACTTTACCTGCTCCTCGTCTTCCACCATCCTGTCCAGCTGCTGCTGCATGCTCGAGATTTTGCTCTCCAAGTTCATGCAGCAGTCCTTTGACTTCTCCCCCTTCTCCTTCGCCTCCTCCTCCTCCTCCTCCTCCTCCTCCTGTGGATCGAAGACCGCGCTCTTCCATGCGGCAAAGGAGGTGCACATGCTAGACTTGAAGAGCTTGTCGAGGATCTGCTTTCTCGTCTTCGTCTGCTTCATCGCGCTCGCCCCCACGTCCTTCTTCTCCATCTGATCCACGAAGGAGATGAGCATCTTGACGGCGAAGAAAAGCTGCTGTAAGTTCTCGTCCTCCACGCTCGTCATCGCATTCACCACCTTAGTCAAAGTCAATGATTCCCTCCTCCCTCCTCCTCTCTTCTCTTCCTGCCCCTCCCTCCTTCCCTCCCCTCTGTCTCCCTCCTCCTTCCCCCCCTCTTTCTCCTTCCTCCTCCTCCTCCTCCTGCGCTTGCTCACCTTCCTCCTCACAAACTGCGCCAGCTGAGTTCTGATCATGGTCTCGAACCCCAGGGGTCCCAGCTCGCCGTCCTCGTCCAGCAGGGCTCCACCTTGGGTGATCAGCTCGAAGTCGTCGGGAGAGAGAGCGACGGAGCGCGAGAGGTTCAGCTTTCTCAGCCCCACGTTGAGCTCCTGCAGGTCTACCGCCCCTGACTCATCCACGTCCAGCCGCTGCTCGTCCGCATCAGCTACTCCACTAACACCCCTGCTGCCCGCTCCCCCTCCTCTCCCTTCCTCTATCTGTATGCTGCATCCTTCCCTCGAGTGTTCGCGTCCTCGGGCTCACCTGATAGAGCGCGGAGATTTTGTTGGAGAGATCCTGCTCGGACGTGAAGCCGACGAGACCAGCAATGAGCGGGTCCAGCGGCGCCTCCGCTCGAGATGCAGAGAGAGTTCGCTCCTGCTGTTTGGTCAGAGGAAGTCGTGAAGGCAGGAGGAAGAGAGAAGCAGGGGAAGGCAATGATGGTGACAATAGAGGGCAAGAGGAGGAGGAGAATGCAGAAATGCGGGAAGACTGGGCAGCGAAGGAAGGAACAGGGGTTGGACCTGCTCTATTTGCCGCAATCTTGCTGCCTTCTCACTTTTCTCTCGCTCCACCGTCGTGATGAATTCATCGAGGAGGACGGCGACAACGATGTTGACAAGAACCTGACGAGGAGGATGAGAGGAGAGGAGGGGAGGAACCGATCGCTCCCTACCAGCCCGACGACCAGCACGTAGGACACGAAGAACAGCATGATCTAACGGAACTTGTCAGAATTCTGCCACCACCACCTCCTTCCTCCCTCACCCATCCCTCATTCTTGTCGTTGAGGAGCAGAGATCGAGTCACTATAGACGCCCAGGCGTCGCCGGTTCCCACCTGAAAAAACTGCAACAGGGACATCAGGCATGGAGGAGGACATTGTGAGGGAGAGGGAGAGAGTGAGTGAGTGAGCGAGGGAGGGAGGGAGTGAGTGAGTGAGTGAGGGAGGGAGAGAGAGGGAGGGAGGGAGGGAGAGAGAGGGAGGGAGGGAGGGAGGGAGAGGGAGGGAGAGGGAGGAGGAGGGAGGGAGGGGGAGGGAGGGAGGGGTAGGGACGTACAGTGAACATGGATCTGCCGAAGTTACCGAAGAAGTCTGGGCTGGTAGCACCGAATAGGTTGGTAGCAAGGACAGCGTAAATGGAAGTGACGAGGCATAGGATGCAGAAGGCGTTGAGGACAGGGATGACTAGCGGCGAGTCAGAGGCAAGCAGAACGAGAAAGGGACTGATGCTGGTGCGAGATGAGGCAGAGAAGCAGAAGACGAAAAGGGTAGGCTGTGTGGACAGGCAGAGGAGGAGCAGGAGCAGGAGCAGGAGGAGGAGGAGATGCCTGAAGCAGAGAGAGCGTTGATAAGCATTCTGAGGGATGTGAGCATCCTGTTGAGAATGTCAGCGACGAGGACGGAGAAATGGAGAGAATAAGCAGGAGGATGGGAATGAGCTGGTGGACGGGGAGAGGAGGAGGAGGAGGGGGAGGAGGAAGAGGAGCAATGCAACATGACAAGGAGAGGACAACCTGAACAGTCTGACCATCTTGAAGACTCGGACAAGACGGAGAACGTTGATCGCAGGGATCTGGTCAAAGATGACCGAAGCCAGCGCGAGAATGACGACAACAAAATCTGCGGGGGGGCAGGGGGAGGGTCAGGAGGAGAGCTTTGTCGTCGCCTCCTCACCGAACACATTCCATCCGTCCCGGAAGAATTTGTTGAACCAGTGCCCGAAAAGGTTAACGACCAGTTCCTGCCTCCACGCTCAGCTGGGGTCAAGGTCGGTAAGTAAGCAAGCAGCACCAGAGTGAAGACGGCTGTGACGGCGAGCTCAATGATCCTGAAATTTCTGTCCATGTCGCTTCCGCTCTCCGGCAGCAGCTGCGCGTTCGCCAGGGAAGCGACGTAGGAGAAGAGGATGACGAGGCCGATGGCGAGCTGGAAGCCGAAGCTCTCGTACAGCTCCCGCGCCAACCTCCTTTCCCGGGCCAACATCCCCACGTCTCCCTTCGCCAACTCAATCCTCTCTGCCACCTTCTTCGCCTGTTCGATCCCAGCCAGCCACTTTTCCAGCTCCTGCTTGTCACCAGCTCGCAGCACGGTTGGCCTCCCAGAGTTTTGCCCGTTGGGGATGGTGTAGACGGTGAAAACGTTAGGCTCCTCCTCCTCGTCCTCCTCCTCGTCGTCACCCGCGAAGTAGATCTGGTCGGAGAACTGCATGTCAGCCTTCTTGAACTTCTTCGAACGTCGCCCGTCGCGGTCTTGTTGCTTGAGACTTCCTTGGTCGTCGTGCCGCTTCCTGACATTCTGCACTACCGACTTGACCTCGACGAGGGGGATGAAGTCGATCAGCAGGTCCGAGTCTGTCTTGCCGAAGTTGATCCGCGTCTGGGAGAGCATAACCCTCCTCTTCTGCCACGTCACTCCCACAGGACTGAGCGACGAGCCCTGTCAGCAACCCAAGAGGAACAGCAGCGAGTGTTTCACCTCACTACTTGTCGTCCCAACTCCGACACGAGGCTGCACTCGCTCGCTTGCGGCAGCTTGGCGGCACTCTCGTCGTTTTCCTCGTTCTTCTTGGCACGACCATGTCGGATCCCCATCATCACAGCCGCCATGATGCCGTCCTCCTCCTCAGCCCCTGCTCGCCAGTAGCAGCTCGGGCCCTCGCGTTGGTTTCCCTGATCATGGAATCATACAGGAGGTCAGTTAACATTCAGAGAAGAGCCTTCAAGCTGCTGCCCTTGTACCCTTGGGAAGTCATAACAATCATGGCAACAGCATTCATAACATACACACGATGCAAGTGTCACACGAGTGAAACCTCATGTGACTGCAAGTGCTTCTCTCGGGCAGATTCTCTTCTAAATCAGGACTGCTCATCTTCCTCTTGGTCTTCTTGTTTACCGTGCATTCTGCTTCTTCGCCGAGTCTCCTGCCTGCCTGCCTGCCTGCCTGCAATCCTTCCGGCTCTCTTCCTCCTCCTCCCCTTTTCCCGGCGGGCAAGTCACTGTGACCCTCTCCCTTCTCTTCCTATCACCATCTTCGATCCCTCTTCTCTCTCTCCCCCTTCCCCTCTCCGTCTTTCGCGCGGCCGCCTCGCCATGCGGCGCCATCGTGACCGTCAAGCGACTGATCTGTCAAAGTACCCCCTACCCCACCTTCACAGGGTCGTCTCCATCCGAGAAAAATAACTTTCATCACCCCTACCCCCCTGTTGTAACACCCCTTGTACAAATGTACCCCCTCTTTACCTGGTATTATCCCCCTCTTTATCCAGCAATTCTGTGAACGAGTACCCCCTACCACCTCAAATCTCTCACCCACCCACATGGTACCCCTGTATTGCAAGGTGCTGCCAGCCTCCCCCACTTTTCTTAAACCCGATGACTACCCTACCCCCTCAATGACCCCAGCAGTACCAGGCCACCACCGGCCAAACCCACCCCCCTCTATCCCACCCTTGACCACCTATACATGGCTAAAGTACCGGTAGTCTTCCAAGAAATTGTTTTCTGTATTTGGGCCCCACGAAATCTGAAATTTGATAGATACTTTTGAAAAAACATTTGAATTAAAATTCCAGTTTCTAAAAGTTTCAAGAAGCAGCCTGCCTCAGCCTACTTAAATGCGAGGACTTGAGGGGGTGGGGGTACGTTCCTCTGAGTCAAATGGGTGGGTATATGTGGAAAATTTGGGGGTGAGGTGATTGATTGGTATTGGTGGGGGTGAGGGTGGGTTGAGGGCACATGCGCTCTTGGTTGTGATTGGAAGAAGCGAAGGAGAAGAGCAACAGAGTAAGAACATCATCAGCACCTCGTCCTCGTCCTCGTCCTCGTCCTCGTCCTCGTCCTCGTCCTCGTCCTCGTCCTCGTCCTCCTGCTCCTGCTCCTGCTCCTG